ATAGCGCCGTGCGCGCAAACCTGGCAACCCACTAGCTGGCAGGAGCGTCAGTTAACATGGCAGCGGCTAGCGTTACTCCACAAATAGTCAAGTTTGGATTCAAGGATTATGTTGTCGATGACGCTAATAAGAAGAGAACAGCGGTATGCAGGGTCTGCTGCATAAAGATCAGTGACACGACCACCACAACATCCAACTTCATTCGTCACTACAAAAACAAACCCAGAGAAAGGTGCGTGAATGTGTTGTGTTAGCTAGAAAGCTAACGTTAAGTTTAAGCTACGTTAGACTTGGTTTCAAATCGATTAAGCATTGCAAAGAGAAGACAAAACGGTAAATGAACACTAGAACCGCCAAGGGATTCATTTTGACTAACCCCGATACTGACGGGCTGTCAGGAGAGGGAGAGAGAGAGAGAGGAAAAGAGATGCCTCGTTTATTTCCCCTGTGTTATTATCAGAAGTTAATGTAAACTTTTGAATAATGTAGTTCATCTACTTTTAGTAGTTTGTTTAAATGTTTTAATTATGTTGTTTTTGTTTGTAGAAGTGCATCATTCCTTGATTTATTCTAAAAATGAATCTGAACTTTTTAATCTGTTATTATGATAAACTGAAGCAATTTTTAAATTAAACCAATTAAGTGAGTTTTAAATCGTCCTACTTAGCTAATAAGGAAATGATGAAGAGGAACAAATTAAATGATTTGAAAATGATATCTATGTAGGTGCTGACGCTGTTGGCAGTTCCAGTGTTAACAGACATTTAAATTAAATATGTGTAGGCCTAATGGCAAATGCCATTATATGATTTTCTTACCTGGAATCATGCCTTTTTGAACAGACTGTTTGATTGAGTCCTAGCTATATTGTTCTAGGGTTAATATGAATCTAATATGATTGTCATCGGTCTAAATTAGATTTCAAATGATTAACTGTGTATGTAATGAAGATCATAGTGTGGGTTGAATCCATTTTCATAACCACTGTCTTTTAACTGATTTAAATGCGGAAACTGGGCTTATTCATCAGAATTTCGTATGACTTGACTTGACTTGCTTGACCTGAGCAATGACTTGACTTGACTTGCTTGACTCTCACCACAGTGACTTGGGACTTGCTTGATACTTGTAGGTCAAGACTTGAGACTTGCTCATGATTTGCACATGTAGGACTTACTCCCACCTCTGGTGTCTATTAATAAATGTATGGCAGAGAATGCATAACTCTGACAAATGCAAAATCAATCAAATCATGATTGGTCAAATAATGCCATAAAAAAATGGCACTTAAAGAGTTTAGTCCATTTGAAACTAATACACCAGCACTTACAATGGTTTGACTTATTTTACGCATATATACCTGCACCTTTCTTGTTGTTCTGAGTGTGTTAATGCACTTATTGTAAGACGATATGGATAAAAGCGCCAGCTAAATGAAATTGTGTGTGTAAGAAAATGCCAATTTATACAAATCAAATAACGGACACTTTAAAACGTAATGATTCAACAAATGATCCTAAAGTTGCTTTAACCTACCAGTTACAAACAACAACAAAACAAAATAGCATTCAGGATACTAGAATATGTAGTGAAAAAAATATGACATGGGATTGTGAAAGAAAATCCCTTCATTGTGGCGTATCTGAATTTACGTGAAACGTATATGGTGTGTAAGAGTTCCACTTTGAAGGTTATCAGCACCTGCACAAGTAGAAACACAGCCTCCATTGTGCATTTTTAAGAGTGGAACAATCTTAACTTGAGAAGAAAAAAAGGAGACGCTAATGAGATATAATTTAAAATCTAAATGTCCTTGATTTATAACTTCCCACAACTGCCTGAACTCAGCAAAACACACAGACCTTTCAAATCCAATTGTGGGCAGGAGTTCACTGAGATGTGTTACCTACCCTGTACAGCTGTTCAAGTGTATTTGCTATTGTAAGAAAACTGTTTGAAACAGATGGCAGCATAGCGGGCAGGGGAAATGCTTTCAATGCTCTCAGACCTGAATTTCCATATCAAAATAATTCTGTTGCACATAAAAAAGTATAAATTGGTATGTACCGTTAACTGAAAGAGGGGACATTCACTAGCATCTACCCGTCTCTCATCTGTTATATTAAACCTGGAAAGACCTTTTACAATTGTTTCAGACCCAAAATATTTGTAACACTAGCAGCACAGAAAGTATACCAAAAATGTGATTAATTCACAATGTGCACATTTATTAGTGAGAGGTCTTGCGGGTCATCTGTGAAACTACCAGCGGCGTACACTTCATGCTCTGTGCAAACACACCTTCCTCTGCAGCCTAGGTGTTAAAACCCAGGACCATAACCTTCAATTTACCTTGCTAACAGTACAGATTTGGAAAAGCAGTACCACTAAATATCCCTTTCACTAACATGGCTTCACTAGTTGTGCTCTGGACGGGAGGGAGGAACATGACCTCGGACAATGCTATCAATTTGCTGTCGCACTACAAAAAATATATATTTAAAGGTGGGGTATGTAATTTATTTCAGAAACACTTTTTGTTATATTCCATGGAATGCTCTTAACATCCCGATAGCAATGAATATATTAAATGCTTTGACAATAAATACATAAAAAAATGTCATCTGTGGAAGCCGTGGTGCTGTAAAAAGCACAACCAATCATCTGAGCCGGCCCGGCTAAAATAACTGGATGGCCTACCTGCCTGTCAGCCTTCCATCTGTGCACAAACTTATCTCGTGCCCTCATTGGTCATGTGCGCGTTCGTGTGTGTTGGAGGAGGGGCTCTGTAAGGAAGTGGCAGACTTTTTCCGGCTGTGTATTTTCGAATTCTAGCGCACTCGAGCCGGTTTCTCCAAAATGACCTAGCCCACCTTTAAGTGAGGAATCCAAAATAACATACTATACATTCTGAGATCACTGTAACAAGATTATATATCGTAAATCTAAAGTAAATCTCAGCGTATGTGTATTTTATATGAGCAGCAATTATGCAACAACATCTATACAAGCAGGCCTCGCCAGCCTACCTCATCATGAGTATAATGAGCAGAACAAACCTTTCCTTCACTATTTATTACAATTTTGAATAATACTTGCAGTGCAAAAGCAGCTAGAAACAGATTATGTGATTTAAAGATCATATTGATTTATATCTTTAACATTTTTAATATTTTACTCAAGGTCACTCAAACACCCTTCACATTGGCAGTACTTTACTGACACTCACACTGTTGTACGGTGACTACAGAAGCTGCATGTCTGAGTAATAACGCTGCAATTATCTTAACACTTTTTAACAAAGAGTGGGAAAAAGATCACGTTATCTGTCAAAGAGTGAAGGGATAAGACCAACAACAGCTCTCCTATTACAACACGCAGAGAAGAAAGCAAGGCAGGAGAAAACACTTGAAGTACAAGGTTGAAGCAGTGGTACATTCACAAATGAGGTGACAGAAAATCCAAAGGCAGAGTGCATGTGTACAAACACCACAGACACCTGTTTTTACATCAAGGCAACTCATATTATTACAAGAACTGCATTAAAAACAAGAAATGATCCACACGCACACACACGCACGCACACACACACACACACACACACACACACACACCACACACACACACACACACCCACACACACACACACACACACACACACACACACACACACACACACACACACACACACCACACACACACACACACACACACACACACACACACACACACACACACACACACACACACACACACACACACACACACACTACCCCAGACCTATCACTGAGTTTGTCCCACAGAATGTCCCACAGGATAAATGCAGGCACTCTTATTTCAGAGAACCAGAACCAGGTTAAACTGTAAACTGTCTCAACTATTATTTGCCAAAGTGTTTTCAAAGTAAGTGCGTCATCACTCAGAGGAGGAACAGCTGAATGCCAGTGTTATTTAATTCACGAGAAATTGCTCCAATTACAGACAGCAGGTGAATAACAGTTTAATAATAGGTTTCCATCTCACCTCCAACGGAATATCACTTCTAAAATTCACTACTACAGTTATCATTGTAGTCTTGAATTGAAATAAATACAAGTAGGTTTTGGTGTTATAAATGGTGTTTACAAATTCGGAGATGGTCGTATGAAAACACAAATAGGAAAAGGGAGCCACTTGTATTATATTTCAATTAATGTATTATTTTGTTAATCCTACATAACTCAGAAAATTATTTTCTTTCTTTTTATTTGTCTTACTCGGCACACTCCGAAACCAGCACCCACCCCCACCATCATACCTGCCCTTTCCATTACCCTCCATAGGAGAGCCTATAATACAAGAGCTACACTGTGAAATGATTCTGCTTAATTGGTGGACTACACGACTTTTAAACTAATTTCAGTATGAGTCTGCAATTTCGTACTCAACGTTTACATTATAACACTTCAATAAAAATACAGACACGACCAAATCTCAAGCACGTATAGGATTCACAACGCCAGGGTCGCAATTTAAAATAACTGGATTTATTTGAGTCCTGCTTAACGGCAACGGTTACGTGCATAGAGAATTACGATTCAATATAGGCTACGTTATACATTAAAGTAATGAGGTTTAAATCGGCATATGCTTATTTTATGAGCGCTAAGCCGTGTTAAATACAATCATTTGTTTCTATAACAGGTTCGAACTGCTGGCTCGTGCGCTCATCTAGTTGTCCAACACGGAGACGAAAACAAGCGATCCTATTAGAAAAGTAACAATAGCAATAAAGGGCCGTTTGCTTTTTGTGTTGTTGTATCATGAAAATGCAGTTTATGACGATTGATTCCTCGTTTGGACTACGTATCGACATGCCGAGCAGCAGTGATCTGCCATGTTAACGGAGAGAAAGGCAGAGTGGCGGATCCGACCCAGCGGTAATGAACCCGGGACAGCCTCTGCTGTTCCGGTAAACGGTGTGTTTGTTGCTCGTGTTCAGTGTTTCTGGGCTCTCCTACCTGTTCGTCCCGGTGTGGAGGACCCTCCTCTCCCACTTCACCAGCTCCGCCGTGCAGCCAGTAATTCTTTTCCACTTTTTTCCACAAAAAAACTTGTTCAGCTTGTCGAAGTAAATATTAACGGAGAAATGTACATAACATAAAACGCATTCAGAACACCGTGTTTGTCTTTTCACTACTTTACTCACGTTTCTAGACGGTTTATTCCCAAATTGTTTAATTCCAAAGGCGGAAAAGGGGTGTGTTTGTTTTTCTTCCCGTCGAGTGTGTCATTTTAAATTACACTGTGTTAGTTAAAGGCAGGCTCGAGGACACTATATCCACGACAGCACGGCGCGCGGCTGTCAGAACAACGCACACGTGAAATGAACGAAGTGTCGGTGTGAAGAAAACGGAATGGTGGGTGTCTATACAGCGGAAACTACAACTGAACTGACAGGGACTCAATAAAACCCTGGTGTTTTCCGTCCGTGGCGTCCTTTTCATTGAGAAAGTAAACGTCTCAGAGTGAGACACCTTTCATCTCTGTCCTCGCGCTGTCCCGACTAAAGTAATAACATTCAGTGAGAGCTAGAGAGCGCGCGCCGGTAAAACGGAGACACGAGACTGGCCTGAGTGTGAGCCGGCGCGAGCTCATCTCCTCGCGGTAAAAGATGATGATACGCCAAGCGAGGCAGAAACGGAATGTGGGGATCCCTGCTGCGTCCAATCCTGACGCTCTACCGCTGTGTGTGCGTGTGCGTGCGCGTGTGTGCGGGTGTGTGTGTGTGTTTGTGTGTGAGACTTTGAACTGCATGCCCTGACTGTGGCAGGTGACGGCAGAAGCGAGAGCCGCACGAGGACATTGTAAGACACCCGAGTGATGACAGCAAAGCAAAAAATAAGATGTTATAAAAGTGATACATATATATATATATATATATATATATATATATATATATATATATATAACATTGTTTACAAGTTAATCATCTTCCAGTAGCCTAAGTGTGCATGTACTGCACTGAAAAACTGAAAACGTTGACTTTAACAAATGTTTTATGTCAGACAGATTTCACACAACTGTATTAGGTTAGTTGAAAGCAATACTTTGAAGTTACACCAAATGTTTTTTTAATTATTGCTTTCAACAAGTCAACCTTTCCATTTTTGCAGTGTGACATTGTCAGTGCACAGTCAAACTGAGTTACTATTTCAGCATACATGCCTACAAAATGTTTTTCTGCCCACAGAAAGAGTCAGAGTCAGTATTGCATTTTAATACAGAGGGAATACTGCTGATTCAGTCAACAGAGAGAATAATTTAAATCCCTTGAAATATCATTCAGTCACTCAGAATGCTTTAAAATACAGACGAGCATTGATCTCCATAACCCTTTAAATGATTGTGGTGATTATTGTTTGTATGCTTCTATCAATGTTTGTATGACTGCTTATTATGTATTAGTTAACCTCACAGAGAAAAGCCATGCAGCATTCCCTTGTTCCTGATTCTGATCCTGTATTTCTGTCTCGGATAAACGTTGTGCAGGAGACTGGAGTGTGAACCCTCAGATTCTGGGAGAACAATCAGCCTCAGTGTGTAGTTCATGGTGCGTTCAGGTGTTAATGATGTGGATGAACAAGAAGGCTTCCGCTGTGAATTGTTCCTCACGTTTTGCTTTCTACCTATACATTCAGCATTAAATGAAGTATTCTTCTGAAATAAATGAACCAAAAAACGATGTTTAGGGTGTGTTACGATTTGCTTTTGGCCAATATGGAAGGCATAATAAATGTACATCCAAACAAAATATATTTATAAAAAAAAAAAGATGGGAAAGAAAACAGTGAGGTGCAGAAGACAGCTCAGTTAAAGGTGTATGAATGTGTTCAGTGAGCACTGCAGTGCAAATAAACTAACTGAGCAAATGATCACATTATAAAGATAATAATGTGTGTACATCCAGTATAAACACTCAAATATAATAATTATTATAATATTTACATTGTAATAACATTGTAAAATTGCGGTGTAGAACTAAATATCACAGATACTTGATGAGTAGACTTTTGAGAGTCTACTTCCAAATTGTATGAGTGGTCAGGAAAATATGAAATTTTATTTTCTATTAAAATCAACAACAGCAGTCCTGTAATAAATGCTGTGTGAAAGTTAAAGTGTGTCAGAGGAGAACATATTAATTGTTCAATAGACTGCTGTGAGAGTGGACTTGATCATGTCCCCCCCCCCATGTGCTCCCTTTATGTGCTCCCTTTGTGGCGTTCACTAATTGGAGAGCGAGTTGTGCAGGAGAGAAACGGGTTAGACGCAGCAAACTAAGAACTAATACATTGTAGAGGATGGACTTTACTGAGTTTCTACGCCTTTGGATTAACTGTGTTTATTAATGAAAACAAAGTGAGATAATATTTTATCTGTTAGTTCATATTGTTAAGCTAAGAAACCTCCAGCAGTTATGTTAATGTAACATTTGATTTAACAGTTCTTAAAGGTTCACATTTCATGCACATTCTCATCAAGGCTTTGACTGAAGTGTTAGATAAAGTATGTGACATTTGCTGTTTCCAAGCTAAATGCCTCCTCGTTTATGTAAGAGTAAAATGTTTGCACAGCTACTGTTGCTGTATTGGAGCAGAGTTATTTATGATACAGTATGTTATTTCAGGACAATTTATGTGATGTCAATTCTGTTCAAAACTCTTTCTCAGTCATTACACTAACAAGTAAAGCATTAGCGGAGCAACACACTGACTATGTTATGTTTGTTGCATTGTTATTGTGCTGCTAATGCATTACCGCATACACATTATTGTTCTTGATTTTGAAAAAGGCTAATGAAAAAGTAGGCCATGTGTGGAGTTAACAACACTTTCCACTTATCTCAATGATGCAAATGAAGACCAAGTTAACATTCACGTTGTTTCTTTCAATCTCTTTTGTATTAACTGCTAACAGTGTGTTCTTTCTTCATACTGCATACTCATTTTGATGTATGTGAGATTTATCAGAGATTTCTGCTCGTACAAAATACGAATGGTATTGGACAAGCCCAGACTTGTGATGGGATGTCAGTAATAGCCTCTGAACTGAATGGTGTGAATGCTAAAATAAGAGTGTTGTTTCAGAGGACAATCATATGCACAAAAAATGCATGCCATCCTGCCAACACTACAAACTGAAACACTGTGTGGCAAACAAACCTCAAGAATAAAGCTGGAATTATTTTTGTACGTATTCTCAACAAATGTTAGTCTGCTTCTCGATACTTCCCTAACCTGCGATGTAGCCCATCTGTTCCCTCTGAACATGCAACTCTTCCAAGGCAACCCACCAATATATGGTTTTATTTATAAAAAGGCTCAGTTATTTCCTTAAATAGATGGGCACGATTATTTAAGCAAACATGATTCAATGCACTCGTAGTGGACTACTTTCAGCAGCGGAGTAATCCAAAATATAAATACAGTATGTGTGTTGATGGTTATAAAGGAAGATGTCCCCAAGTGCAGCATTGTGTCTCACTGATGTGTGTTGAACAGTTTTGGACAACAATGGATCTGTATGACACAGATCTGAATAAATATTAGTAGATATATTCATTGTTGCTTTTGATGGATTTGTTGGCTGTTACAAAAATAAAGAATCTCACAGGCCTTATTATTTAGGCGGAACCTTTTCCAAAATAATAAGCCAAGCTTTAACTAAAACCAGCCCTTAATACAAAATGAAGAATTATTAGAATAATCTACTCTTGTTTATTGACAGAACCTTAAAAAATGAAAACCATCCTTTGATCTATGATACCAAGATTGAATTGTTCATTAAATGAGTTTCAAAAGCATACCAGTAATACTATAATTTCAGTGGATGTTTTACTGAATCAAACAGGAGTAGCTTGAGCTAGAAATGGGTTTTATATCTTTCCCTAATTTCTTGTTATGTCGCCACTATGCAATTGCAATTGAAAGAACATGCAGCTATAGGTTGAAATGTTCGTGCTAGTACTGTAGTTACACCTTTGACATTTAATCACTTTTCTTGTTTCTGCTCTATAGGCAGACTTAACCTATTTTAAAATAATTAAACAATCAATATAGTAATATACAGTAACAGTTGTTTCACACAGTTGTCGTATTCTCCTTTTTATCCTCCTGGGAACCGAGGAAAAAAAATGTTTTCCAATCTTCTTTATTTTTTATTTCCTACCTATTTAGGGTTAGAAAAACATCTTGCAATTTAGACTTTTTAATTTAATTTGATTTTAAATGTTACAGTATGTCCACTATAGAGGACGTCAGGACCATTTTATAGAGTGATATTAATACAATAATACATTCACCTTTATTTAAAACATAAATAAGTAGTTGATCTGAACATTGCTGTTTATTTGGTCACTAAAAAACTAGTTTGGTTTTTGGTGAAACTTTCCAGATCTTCAAAGACTTTGTAGTCAATGTACTGGGAAAAGTACCTCATTGGACTCCAGTCGGCATGGGCTGTAGGGTCATCTTGAGTAGTTTTATGGATGTGGTCTCCAGTTGACCATGCTCATAGAAACAAACTTGGCATCCTGAGACAATTCAAATTTTTCATGGCTCCACTTAAAGGGGTCATGTCATGCTTTTCCGGTTATTACCCCGTCCCCTTGTGTGTTATGTAGCTCTTTCTGCATGTAAACGGTCTGAAAAGTCACAAACCCTCAAAGTACACCCTGTAGCGAGTACAACTCTAACACAGAAATGACCTGTATGCTGCCCCAGAACGCCTCGTTGGACATTTCTCTTTTTCTTCCTGGGCAGAGTGACGTCACGTGACCATACCCAAATGGACCAATTGGTCCAAATGGATCAATCCGTGGAGCTCCTCACACACACACACTCTCTCAGCGGCGAAACTGTGACGCGCTGGGGGGGGGGTGCTGGTGGAGCCTCGCAGCTGCGAAACTGTGGCGGCTTACACTGTAGATGCGCCGCGTTTGGGGGTGCGGGTGCTAGTGGAGTCTCACAGATGGGGGTGCTGCAGCACCGTCAGCATCCCCCCTTCCCGCGTCCATGGTGCTCAGGCTTAGTTCAGGCTGAGTTTCGCTGTGTCTCGCTGTCTCGCAGACCCCAAGCAGCAACCAGGAAACAACACCAGTAAGCCAC